CCTGAGCCGCCGCTGCTACTGCCCGCCGCGCCGGCCGCTCTCGCTTTTGTTTGGTCCGCGCCGACGCTGCCCCGCCGCCGCGCCACGCCCGCCGCTCTGGCTGCTGCCTGGCCTACGCCGCGCTGCCTCGTTGCCGCGCCGCCGCCCGCCGCTCCCGCTGCTGTCAGGTCTGCGCCGCCGCTGGCCCCTCTGCCGCGCCGTCGCCCGCCGCTCTTGCTGCTGTCTGGGCCACGCTGCCCACACTTCCCCGCAGTCGCGCCGGCGCCTGCTGCCGCGCTGTCTCTCGTCAGCGCTTCGTTCTGCCTGCCGCCGCATTGCCGACCTACAGCCGCTCCGGTCTGTACTACCTGGCCGCCTGCTTCCTCCGCCAACAGCTCGTCATCGTTCTGCACTGCGCCTGCTATCACAGTGCAGCAGAGCAGCCGACGCCAAACTCACTGCAGCTAGCTGTCGCCCGCCGGCGCTCGCTGCCGACCGCAGCTGCCACTCGCTGTCGCCCTCCTCTACTGCCCTGAGGTCGGTGGGCCTGCACGCTCCGTTTTTTGTGCGCATCGCATCGTTGGTTTGCGAGTAACGATAGGGTCTCGGCTATTGTTGGAAGGGACTGAAGGCCTGGTCGTTGAGGTGTGTGGAGGCTATGGACGTGGTACTGCCCTTACTTTGCTTGAGAGCGGTTGACCCGGAATTAATACCCGGTGACGCGACGCAGGCAACTCGAACCGGCGGTGTGAACCTCTCCGGCAGGGAACCCCACCGGTCCTTTTTATGGCGGATAACGGTGTCGATCCTCTGTGGTCTGGTGTGTCCGGGCGTGGGAATCCTCTGGGGTGTTGTGCACTGAGTAGGTTGGGGTGGTATCGCTGAACTGGCCGTCGCACAAGCGTCCCGCAAGAAACTAAACACCCTTTGAGGCCTGTATACTGGCTGGTGTGGACGTTTCGTACGGATCATCCCGCCCACTCTGGTAACGCAAGAGTGGGTAGACTGCAGAAGTCGTTACCTGACCCGGACAGGCTCCGGTTGCCAAAGGTCGGACCTTTTCTACCTGCAAGAGCTGCAGGCGCCGAGGGTCGGACCCTGACAAGGTCAACCGATCATAGATCGACTCAGTGCTGATTTTTTGCCCTTGTTCTTAAAGGAACTATTAACTAAATCCTGATTAGTTACCCTGCGATCCGCAACATGCCCCCACACCCCTCCCACGAGGTAGCAGGGCCTTCTGAGAGCGGACAGCATTCCGACTCGTCACCACCCGAACCCCTGGTTACATTCATGAAAGGCATAACG